ACGGCCAAGGGGTTTTTATAGTGTATGATGGATTGCATCTGACTTTTTTTAGGTTGTGAAATACTGGCCCGAGACAGGGAAATCTGGATTTTTAGTGTGGCGTTACTTACTTAGGAGGGATGATGAAGAACCTGCTCCTTGGACCAAAGAAGGAAAGGACAGGATGAAAAAGCTTGGCCTAACAATGCAGGTACGCTTTTGGAACATCGTCATGGTTTCCCTGGACAATGAACTTGATGGATAGCGGGAATTTTTCTATTATACGTTCTTATTGAGGATGATCTGCTTCGCCTTGCGTAAGAATCAGGACAGCCCCTTAGACTGAGGGGGATGCAAGTGCTTTCAGTCTTGTGGGTTCTTTGTTTTCTTTCTACATCAGGAGGTTAAATGGACAAAACTTGCTTTCTTGTACAGAATTTCTAGAGTCTGAATAAGTAATTTGCAAGAGCAGAGTTCTCTATTGCTTAAAAAAGAGAAGCCCTAGAGCAGAGGGTCATTCTTCTGACCCGTAATAGTCTGTAAGTCTATAAACTGGCATGTTTGCATTGGATGCTTTTTGTTTTGTGTTCTCCCGTAGTATCCTGAAGGGTATTTGGAAGCTGTTGCAAACAAAGATAAGGAAAAAGAAAATAATGGAGATGATGAGTTTGATACCCTGGGGAGAAGAAAGAGGAAAAGGAAATCAGCAGGTTTGTGGAGTAGGCAAGTGGATATAGAAAGCCTTGTAGGTTTTTGTGCATTTTACCTAGTTACTCTTTTCTAGGTGCTTGTTGTTTGTTTGTTTAAAAAGTCACGTTTTCTTTCAGGCGGGGAGAAAAAACTCATCACCTCTTCTACGGGGAGTCAAAAGAAAACTAAAGTTGAGCCATACAAGCTGACATCTCAGCAAAAATCTCTTATAAAAAGTGATGAAGCCAATGAAAAACTGTGGAATGAAGTACTAGAAGCTCTCAAAGATGGACCGGTATGGCATGCTTTTTCCCCCCAGAAATAAAGCGAGAACTAACTATGGTACTATCCCTAGACACAAACTTCTTGGCTGCATTAAAGAAGCAGCCTCAGACCTTTAGTGGTTTTTTTTAGGGTAGACATCCACAGCATAACTTTAAAGCACTGTGTTTGAGGTCAGTAAGAAGAGAGTTACCAGAACTGTTTAATGTGACTATTTTTGTTGCTTGTTAAGCTTTGTAGAAAAGCTTTCTCTGACTAAAGTAATCCCTTGGATTTTATGTGGGGTGGGTTGGTGGGTTTTTTTGTTTGGGTGTATCATTCAGAGGGTAGTAGCAATCAGTTGATTCAAATGTTCTCTTTACAGAAATTTCTAAGTAAAGTTGAAGAGGCCTTCTTGTGTATTTGCTGCCAGGAGGTTGTGTTTCAGCCAGTCACGACTGTATGCCAACACAACGTGTGCAAGGTGAGCAATCACTAGAACTCTTCTGTCAAATTCTGTTGAGCCAATGAGCCGTGAGTTGACTTGTTCAGCGGTGGGGGAGTCATGGGGGGTGGCTGGTTTGGGTTTTTTTGCCACTAGTTAGTCTTCTAGCATCAAGTCAGGTTTATACGTTAAAACTTTACAATAAGAAAGTTCCAGTATTATATTGCTACTTATCCGATTCTTGTAAAAGATGAGGAGAGCTGCTCTGCAGGCTCTGTAATACTGCTGGGTGGCACCGATGGATTCACCAGCATTACAGAAGGAATGGGCTTTGGTTTTGTTTTTTGAGGAATGATGTGTTTTTGCAGAAGCTCCAACAATCTTTAACAGCTGCTGGGGAATTCTTGATCTTTAGAAATGTAATTGAACAAAATATCTCTACCGTATACCTAAATAGTGTGTCCATGACTAACGTGCTCTGAAGCGCATGTGCTATGGCATGTAACGAAGGAAGTTTTCTCCCCAGCTGCCAGCCTTGCGTTGCTTGTGGCCTTTCTCAGATCTTGTTGATACCTGGGTGAACTGGGATATAAAAGGATTCTCATTCTCCTTGTAGAATAAGCTAAACTGCCCATCTCCCCTTCTTAAACGATTATTTGGTTTTGTCTTTCACCAGGATTGTTTGGATAGATCCTTCAAAGCTGATGTGTACAGTTGTCCAGCCTGCCGCTACGATCTTGGCAAAAATTATACCATGCAAGTGAATAAAACACTGCAGACCATTCTAACTCAGCTCTTTCCTGGATACGGCAATGGACGTTGATTCTGTAAAGCACTTCTAATTTTCTTTTGTTCAAACTTATTAATGGGTTTTCAATGGGCTTAATTAAAAAAAAAAAGTAGTCTGTGTTCTCCCAGACACCTAAAAAAAGTTTAAAGTCTTCCTTGTTTTTAAAAAACTATAAACTTCAAGGAATATCCTTTTGTATGTTCGTGGTTATTTTTTTTTTTGTTCTAAATGTTGAACTTTGAGTTGTCCCTCACCCCCTCAAAACTGCCATTCATCAGTGCAAAATTATTTTTTTAATGGACTTACAAAGTGCTTCCGGTAAGGCTGCTAATGATTATGAAAGTTCTCAGAGTGCCCCCTGTGCCCCCCCCCCCCCTTTTTTTTTTTTTTT